TAATTTCGAGCGAACACGTGATACATATCAGAGAATCCACGAGCTGTGTGCGTGTTTGTGACTCCCGTGCTTATCCCGTCTTCAACCAATCGTCAAATGGATCATTTCCATCCTATACGCGATATCTATTGTGTTTACCCACTGGGATATTTTATTGCATGCCGCTAAGAAAAATAATAACGCAGCGAAATTTTGTGTGTCTTTGAAGCAAAATAATGCGGAAGGCTATATTGGCGCACCATAAAGTTTTTAGCTTTAACAAGAGACCAAATAAAACTCTGTACGTTGAATATTCGCGGACTTTAATTGATTTTTCGAGGATTTTAAGTTTGCTTATAAGACCACTTAATTTTTACGCAAAATGACTTGTGCGCAACTTCGGACAAAAACACGAACTTCAATATCTCTACAAAATTTGCTGTGTAAAGTCGGGATTTCAAATTCTTTATGTAGTAGAACAGTTTAGTTCTCTGTTTTCAAAAGACAAATTAAAGCACGGGGCACATATACACCAAACCCATGATCCGCCTTCCCCGCGCACGTCGTGGATGTACGGTCACTGCCGTGCGGTTCCCAGCCGACAGCTCTCACATAAATGTGTTGTGTGGCGCTGTCACTTAAAGCACTCGCCTCGGCAGGAAAGGGACTTTTATACACGGGTTTTCCCCGGTCACTGACCCATGGCTATGCCATGCTAATAAGCCCAAGTGAGGGCGAAACAGCTGTCCATGACTGCTAATGCCCGCGTGATATGGCTGTGCGTATGCGTGAGGTAATGGCCATGGGTTGGTGTATGTGTGCCCCTTGCCCTAAGTTTGCACTATTTTCAATGCACTCGAATTAAGAGGCATATAGATTAAAATAACTTTGACCTGGGCCATGTTTTTCTCTGTTGTGAAAACAGGGTCTATGCCGGTCTGCCGACCGTGCGACGACCTTATAGCCAACAACTCCGAATGAATGTCATTTAAAGAATGCCTGCTACAATAGAGTCTAGAACAATGCCCTGAGTCTGCCAGCCGGAAAAGAAACTGGCCCAGATTTGAAGACGGACGGAGGTACGCATGTTTTTGAGGTTGGATTGTTGGATTCAGCTTCTGTATGTTATGAAAAAAGAATTGTGCTGATCTCGGAGGGTGTTATTCTTCTTGTCGATCTGCATAATTCTTCAAATCACATTCCGTCTCGTTTGATAATTATTGTTGATTGTTACTACTGTATGGGGATGCCTCGATTTTTGAAAACCGAGTTAGCAAAAAAATCAACTTATTCTTCTACTTATCAACTTCAAACAATAAATGATCATTCAAAGGCCAATTAAAAGCCTTTTTCTGACGTCGGGCAGTAAGTTAGTGGTCCCTAGAAACATTTCAACGAGTCCAAATTTAAAATGACGCAAATTTTAGAACATTTATTTAGTAATCTGACTCCGTGAAGTTTCAAACCGGTGTCATTTCAGTGTAGAAAATTTAAGGTGAGTGAACTGCAGCCAAAAAGCGCCTGCAATGGCCACTGCTGTAAAATCTTTCCACTTGGTTTGCATGCACCTTGAAAGTCCTTGAATTTCAATGCTAATTTTATAGTTTAGGTAGAACTCCAAAGTAAAAGGAGTGTACATAGAAAGAACTTTGGGATGAAATTACTCATGTTGTGGAAGGACTAAAAAAGACATAGACTTAAGGCCCTTCTTTGCACTGAATGAAGTCCTTGAAAATGGGAAATGTGTCCTTGAAAGTCTGTGAAAAGTCCTCGAATTTTTCTTTACTCGATTCAGTTGACTCTCTATAAGGTGAACAATTTCTCAGAATTCGTCTCTGTCTTTCTTTAATCCTTTAAATTGCCTTTTTTTCAGAAAGAATACCTTAGTAATTAAAAACCGACACTAAGAGTTGGCCTTTATACTGTGTTTTAATAACTAACTCTATTCTAGGTAGACACCTTGAGAAAGAGATATTTTTCTGTGTTTTACTAGTCTTAATGACTTCTTCATCATCTACGTCACTGTTTGATGAACTTTAAAGAGTAGTGATACATTTTTTTAACCTCCACATCAACTTCAATGCATTATCTGCTCTTTTGACTTTGGAAGCTTATCTTGATTTGTTTTAGGCATAAATTTATTATGGTTTAAATTGAAGTATTTTTGCCAGTGCTTATGAATACGTTTGGCAGAGCTAATCAATCCAAAAGAATCTTTGTCTAGCAAATTGTTTACGGGTTAATGCCTGGTGGGTTTTTTTTGCTATCTGACAGCACAGTAATAACATGTTAGATAGGCATCTTCATGCTGACCAAAATGCCTGCAGCCTTTGGATACAAGATTGATACAGGTATGTAACCCTTCAAGGAAAATCATATAACGAGAGTACATGCATTCTTTATAAGACAATTGTTGGGTTTTCCATGTTCTACTACTTTGTCCCAGGTCTTGGAGAATCTTTACTCCAATCATGGCTCTTTTGCAACAGTGACCTTGTAAGATCAACATACCGGAATGGCATGTCCACACCCTTGACCCTGGTAATGATAGTCAGATTTTTTGTTGCATCAGTCTCAATGGGCTCTATTAAGCAATCTCCCTTAGGGTTAAAGAAGAATGGAACTGAGTATCTGTCTGTGTCGATAGACCGTCTTACGCGATGCCTTGTTGCCCGGTAGAGTCCTTTGGTCCAGGCCTGCAGGCAATCACCCAGGTTCACCACAAATGTACCTGAAAGTTAGTTGAAAGTCTTTATTTTATCTACGTTGACTATGACAGTGAATTTATCAACTCTAGCCTGCAAGAGCAGACGCCTTTTTCAGCTCTTGTTTCACTTGGCAAAACAAGAGCCGAAAAAGGCATGCAAATGCTGCCAGACTTATAATTTCCCAGTCTCTGCTTCTCTCCACCTCATTCGCAGGCCATAAACTTGGCATATTGTTTTCATATATTAATATAAGGTATAAAATTTGCAGCTCTCCCTTTTTGTGACTTTTTTTTTGCAATTTTGTCCAAAACTCAGGAGGAATTGAACAAGACCCCTTGGTAAAATTTTCTTACAAGATGTTTTAACCTTGACAAATAAAAAGTGTCTTCTATGTACCTGGTATGGGCTTTGCTTCAATCCATTTTCCATCTGTTATTTCTACTTCCAAACCACCAACATCATCTTGCAATAGGAAGGTACACATGCCATAATCTGTATGTGGTCCTACCCCCCAGGAGTCTGTCTCAGCAGGGTGGGGAGGGTAATGCATGAGGGCCAGTGTTTCAAATGTGGGTTTAGAAAACTTTTCATCAAAGAAGTTTTCTGGGAGTTGAAGCCCAATTGCTAAAGCTCTCATCATCAGTAATCTGTTGATCCAGAACGGGATTTAAGATTGATTATCTGCATACATATATTAAAATTATTCTAATTATTCATTAGCCTGTTCCGGGCTCCGAGATTGTTGGCCCTCTGAATTGAGAAAGCACGAACACAATTTATGTACATGTAGTGTAAGTTGTTCAGTTGCAATATAATTCTAACCTTACCCTAACTGATTCAGTTGCTTTGAGTATGCTACAATAACATCAGCAAAACCAGGCAGCTCCCTCTCATCTGGAACCTGGTTGTTTTCCATGTCTGGGCTAAAATAGAATCCTTCCCTGATATCAACAACGTTCAGAGTTCTTTCTGATCCTTGAACATGAAAATAAAATAAATTAAATATTACATTAAACTCGTAGTGCATTGAGAAATTACTAAATAATATTACTGGTTACTTTCTCGAAAACACTTTCTTCCTGATAACCTGATAATCAATTCTTTCTGAAGATATAGTAAAAAAAGTGGGCATTGTCAAGCTATAATAATTAACAAATTATTTGTTAAGAATAATACAAAAACAAAAGGTGAGGCAGAAGTGCTTTAAATTTTTTCCAGTGTTTTTTATTGTGCTGATATTAATAACAATTTTCAATTTTTTAAAAAAAAATCAGGCCTGCCAAGTCTCACGACTTTGTCTCACAATTTCACAACTTATCTCATGTCCTCACAAGTTGGCAACTGATTTCTCACACTTTCTCAAAAAAAAAGTCAAACTCAAAAACATTTTTGGAGCTGTAAGGTTCGTTTCCAAGTCAGATATTGATAGATAGCCAACTCAGTCCAAAGAAACACTTTAGCAGTTCCATTTCATTACATTCTTTTACCTTACAGCAACTTGCTGCTACCACCAAATGCGCAGACTTACTGTCTCTTGCTTCAGGCTGTCGGCCAACAAAAGTACATGGAAAGTACAAAACCTAAATCAGAAAATTGATCTGCCAGCCAGCTTTAAAGTGATATGTGACTTCCAATACCCACTATTATCCCTGCTGGAAGTCCTTTCCCTTGAAAAGTGTCCCATTAAAAGTACAGGCATATCACCGACAGTGCATTGTCTATAAAATGTGGTTCTACTTTACCAATAATTTCAAAAGATTTGAAACATCACCTAAGCATAAATTGCTCAGCCATTATCAGTCCAACTACGTCAAATGGTTAGTGCATATAGTGGAACTTACTTGTTTCAATATAGCCTCTATAAAACTCACAGTTGTGAATATTTATGGTATTTTTGGTTTCTAGTGGCAGAGCAAAAAAGCTCTTCATAACGGTGAAAATTTTATCCAAGGTTGACTGTTCAACCCCGTGGCCAGTGAGGTAAAAGAAGCCAACATCCCTACAGGCCTGGTGAATCTGTTGAATCACTTTATCTTTGAGTCCTTGGTCAACCTCTGTATTACTGCCATCTGCTACAAACAAGAATACAAGAATTAACTCTGAAATGCTTGTCTGAGGGTGGATACTCAACATACTGTAAAATTCTGAAAATAAGCCCCTCCATGTATAGGCCCCTCCAAGTATAAGCCCCCCAAATTGGTAACGTAAAAACCCACCGTTAAATCACTCCTCCAAATATAAGCCCCCCATGGGGCTTGTATATGGAAAATTGCCCTCAAATACAAAGTAAAACAAAGCAAAAACGGTAAATTTACTTCCAACTATAAGGCTAGCCCAATCGATTTTGAGACGTAGATAAGCCCCTCAAAAAGGGCCTTTGAAAAATATAAGCCACAGGGCTTATTTTCGGAATTTTACGGTAATTTATATAGGGAGGCTCTGCCCCGAGATCCAACCCCTTACCCCCCTTTTACATACCACTTTTGACAGAAAAGGTACCCCTTTAATATACCATCTATGGATAAAATTAATGGTAACCCATTCACATACCCAGTTAAGAACGTTGTATCCCTTTTAACTGCTGTAAATACACTGTCTTTTAAATATGAATTATAAAAAAAAATGCAAAACGTTTTCTCAACATTTTCACAGCCATAAATTGATCTGTTAGCCCTTTTTCTCGTTTTACCGAGAGAAATGACAGATTTCCATACCCTTTCAAATACTTCAAGTAGCGAAATCCCTACCCTTTTGTATACCTGAAGCCTGAAGAAGGTACCCCTTTCGGGCGGAACCTCTCCATACAGGTAATTATAGGGAGCACCCACCACTCCCCCCACCCCTTCCGGAATGCTTGAAGCAAATTAAGCAGCATATAGAGCTAGCCACTCAGACTTCTTTGATGACATTATGCTTGCTTCCAGTTTTCTCTTACAATTTTGTACACAGGGATGGAGGGTGGCAACAGAGTAGTGTAATAACATCACCCCACATACACATCTCTTTTGGGTTTCTTTCCCATCACTTTTCAAGGAAATGTAAGGATACATGGGAGGTAAATCAGACACTTAATTTACAACTTTTACAGTAGCAGTTGAAGGAGAAGCTGGGATTCCAGTGAAGGGGTGATGAATGGTCCATTAAAATTTTTAACTGCTCGCAAAATTTAATTACCTTTGCTCGATTTGCTTGCAAAATTTAAATGAGTGCTTGCTTGCTCGTCCTCCCCAAATTTTTGCAGTTGCTCGCATGCTCGCTCTCTTGTCCGTATTGCTCGGAATTTGTAAATCCTTCTTTGGGTTAAAATAAATGTAATGTATGTTGCTTAATTCCTATAACATGGCTATCATGCAAGTTCAGTGGAAATGCACCCGATAAATGACAACGATAAAATTAACAAATTAGCTAATCTAGCTATACATGGTTATATATGGTTGTTCTTGACTTGTGACCTTTGCTTTCTGATCCGTACGAACACATGCGTGATGAAGTGAAGCGAAAATGTAACGTCAGTTGGCATAAAACACGACTGTAATTGGTTAGATTTCTATAAGGTGTCACTCAAACTAGCTTCAAAGAACTTGATGTGCGCTAAATTAAAACCCTGTTTTAAAATATTTTCTGTTTTATTTTAAAGAAAAGGATTTCCCTATGGATTGCTGCAAGTAGAAAATATAAGAAGTGCTCGCTGCATGCTCACGAGTTGTACTCTCTAAACTGCTCGCTGCTCAAAAAGCAAATTTTTTATCTCTGCTCGTGCTCGCAAAAAATTTGCAGTGCTTGCATGCTCGCAAAGACCATTCGTCACCCCTCAGTGACACTCCAATAACCACTGTCACTAGCCAGGGACATTCCTGGGCATTTTCCAGCTTTACACCTACTACCAGATTGTTGCTGAAATTGCACCGGTAAACGACCCAGGTTTCACAGCCTGTAAAGTAAGTTAGTTGCACCTTTAACTTACAATCAGTTAACATAAATGTTGTATTTCCCTACTTCCATTCAATATGAATGATGCAAAAACAAAGCAGAGTGGCATTCGAAAATGTAAGGCCAAAGGAAGGTTTGCGTACAGAATTCAAATGCCAAACTGTGGCATTTCCTGGCACAAAACTCCTGGACATTATCTTGTCTGTGTCGATGCTTATGTCCCTGTATACATGTAGAAGCGCGAGCCCAGAGAGCCTCTCTACTCACATAGTAGACATTGACACATAGACAGTTACTACAGTAGCCTGTGTACAGACGTTCCCCCTCCCTCAGGAAAAATCGGGAGAGGAGACGTCTGTGAATCGCCGACAATAATCGTGTTCCCGTTTCCCCGGAATGTTGGGGACAGCCTCTGATTGGTTGTAATGTTAATGCCATGACGCAAATAGTTTCCGGTGTTGTGATTGGTGAATGAACCTCAGAATAGATTCCCCGGGGAAAAGCTCAGCCTTTGTGGATATTCATATTTGTTTACCGGTATTTGTATTTCGGCTCTCTCGAAAAGGCACCGATGTTTGCTGCACCGGTTGCGGGTGCGTCTGTCTGTACCGGTCGGTATTGTAAATAAAAGAGAAGGCATATCAAATCCAACGTTTACAGCCAAGGCACGTCAAGCTTACCCCAAAAAGATTCTATTAATGAATTGATTATTTGAAAAAATGAATCTGTCAGTCGTTCCAGTAACTGGTGTCAAATTTAAATTTGCATTCCTCTATGCGTAATGAGCAGTGAATATTTTAAGAGAACTCTGTATTTGGTCAGATTGAAAATCTTTGTATGGATTAAATGTCTTAGAAGACATAATTTACATGAAAAATTCAGGGAAACTGAGCTGGTAGAAATTTCGTAACTGAATCGTGTGTGAATTCACGGCTCATTACGCATACAAGAATGCACACAGAGATAAATCTGAAATCTACACCTACCAACGGTTCAACTTTCGAATAATAAATACATTAATGGGATCTTAGGAGGTACGCTTGACATGGCTTGGCTGTAATCGGAGATCTTATATCAGGATTTTTGGTTGAACATCGCGTGAAGATGTTCAGCTAGCCTGTACACAGACGCCAGAGCTATTTTTCAACCTACATGTGCCTTTTCAACTGTCAGCGAAAGAACAAAAAATTAATTTATGTAAATGTATGCCGGAACACGATTAACGACGGCGATTCACAGATGTCTCCTCTCCCGATTTTTCCTGAGGGAGGGGGGACGTCTGTACACAGGCTATTACTACAGCCAAGACTTGGGCGAGACTCAGCATCCCCATGCTTGCCTGTACACAGTCTTGTGACATCTGTCTATACTTTGATAAAACTATAGTGTAGGAGCTCAGTAGGGCTCTGTCTTGAGGGGCTGCATATGAAAACACACAAAAAAGGATTGTGACTTGTTTTTTTTCAATTTGCCCATTCAAAAAAAGAAATGCCCCAAAATGTTTTAAGCCTGTGCTTAACTGGCTTACAGTCAGGTATGCCCCTGCTAGCAATTTGAGCTTCAATTTCCTAAACCACATCTCTCTCTCTAATTTGTATGGTCTCCTACATGACCAGTTCTTCGTCACACAACTCTCCTCTCCACAAATGGCTGCTGAGAATAGAACCTGTGTAGCAGACTACTGTCTCTATGAATCTGTCCTGGCCTGTGAGTTACCTTGAAAACAATTCACATTACCCTTTTCAACTTGCACGGTGTGTAATCCCTTACCATACCCTACGTGCGAGCGGAAGCCATTCGATTTTCTTAGTTAGATTTTAGATCTTCCCGACTTATCTAAGAAGTTCGAAGGGCCTCTGCTCGCAAGGTAATAACTATTTATCAAAAGACCATTTTGTTTCTTCATTTAGCACACAGTTTGTTTTTATGCTCCAAGAGAAATGCTGCAGGGTTTTGGGTTTTTAAAATTTTAAAGCGTTGACTATCACGCAACCAGTCGCAAGGTACCATTTCACCGTCAATTCTGAATTGAAAATGAAGTGACTGGCGAGTGATGAGAAAAATAAAGAGCTTACCAGTATCACAGAGTGTCCAGAGTGGAGAAATGTCTATCACGGGTATGGGAGACATGATAACAGGATGCAGAGCCTTGTATGCAAAAGTCACGCTATCAAACTCCTCGTACGTCAATGTGCGCGCAAAGGAAGGAGGGAAGGGAGACAACAGGCTTCGCCTGTAACTTCGGTTGTTTACCATTCGCCAAAATTTTCCGGAAAATCCGGTTGGAAAGTAAATGGAATACGACTTTTTGGGTCGCTCTATCGGAAAATTTTGGGGAGCAACAAAACATCTGAAAAGATACAGTAAAAACCCGCATACAAGAACACCCATTTTCGGGGTTCAGGCTGATTGGGTTCTTATATATCGGGTATTTTAGGTGAAATCAGCCTGAAAGTGTTCTTAATTTTTTACTTCTAAAAAAATGTAAGGGATTTACTAACTATGATGAAATAGATAACTTTGAAAGATAATTAAACTTGAGACACACAACATTAGACTAATAAATTGCACAACCGAGCTTTCGACTGGCATCCGCTAGTCTTCCTCAGGGATTAGAACTATGGAGGCTTGGTCACGTGGAGGTTGTCGTTTGTGATCAACACGTGACCGTAAGATGGAATCGTAACACAAGGTTTTGATTAATAAAATCTTTTATGATAAAAAATTATTAATTAAAATTAATTCCAATCAAAGTGTACGTATCTCTAGTTTCTTAAATCTGAAGCCTTATTTTAAAAAAATAAATGACAACATTAGACTTTGTTAAATGTGCACTTGGAATGAGATCTATACATCATCAGAGCCATCTGTTATCAACCAAGCAGTTTTTGTATAAAGTATTTAAAACTTGTAATCCTTCAATCCTTGGGGGGGAGATATTTGCATCATCAGAGCCATCTGCTGTTATCAAACAGCCAGTTTTCTCAAACAATCTCTTAAAAAAGTGATGATGTGCACAACACTGTGACCACGCCTCTCCAGTCCACTGAGTCATCAATATCCTCCTCTCCTTTGCTCCGCTCATTTTATTGCATATTTTTCATGTAATTATAAGACTTTTAATTCCAAATACAGTTGCTGTACATTTGCTATACACAGAAAGTGAAATTACTAGCATTTATTTAGATCTTAGTGCAATACCACAGTAAAGCTACAGACACTGTTCTATTAAACTGAAAAGGGAAGAGTTTTTATATATAAGAACAATTTTCAATTTTCGGGCTGAATGTGTTCTTATATATATGATCCTTTTTTACCAAATTTCAGCCTGGGTGTTCTTAATCCACATGTTCTTGTAAGCGGGTTTTTATTGTAGTCCTGTTTTTCGGGACGGAATATTCCAAACTGAAATTCGTGTTTCATTTCTTCAACGCCATCTTTGAAACCGGGTTCAGGCCTTCGACGTCGTTTTTTGGAAAATGGAACTGATTTTTACAAACGGTAAACGCGATACCGGGACAAGATTTACCAGGCCTGAATTTTGCGTACCATTTATGGACCGACCGGTTTGCCCGTATAAATGGTAAACAACCTTGCGGTTCATCACCAGTCACTAGCGTTTCGCGCTCGCTTCTACCATGCAAAAAACGAAGCGCCTGAGGAGCAGGCTGGACTGTATACAAATGTATACATAAATGAGGTATATAACAACAATATTGATTATTATTATAAGTAGTAATAGGAGGCAGTTCTGCCAGTAGCCAATCAGAGAGCCGGATTTAGGTCACGTGGTACAAATGGACCAATCAGGAGCGAGTATTTTGACAGGTAATCAAATCGCATGACTCTTGCGTTTTGGTTTGACAGGTGTTTGATGGATGACGTCATAGGAGGGGTGTTTGACAGGTGGTTGATGGATGACGTCATAGGAGGGGTGGTTGACAACCGGAAGTGACTCCCCCCAGACTCCCGGAAGTGGCCTCGCGACCGGAAGTGACTCCCAGACTCCCAGAAGTGCCCGCGCGACCGGAAGTCAAGAAATGTGCTCTATTGCACAATGGAATAACTGAGCTTTATATTTATGTTAGATGTTGTACGCTTACGCTTGTGGTACTTCTTTGTGGCAATTTGCAACAACGCATGCGCGTGGAGTAACATCAGCTAGGAACCTTGTCTTATAACCTAGGAGGGATGACTTGACCTTTATATTTGCAGTCGATGTGGTACGCTTACGCTTGTGGTACTTCTTTGTGACAATTTGCAACAACGCATGCGCATAAAGTAACATGAGAGATTGTCGCGTACAGCGCGATAGGAAGTCAAGAAAGCAACGCATAAGATTGCTTTCGACGTCACAAAGTCACGTGATTGATCCCCAACTACTCCCCAGGTCCCCGGAAGTGACCGGAAGTCAAGAAAAAAGACACACTGTAATTGCCAATAAAAAATCACTTTTTTGATTTAATACAATTTACATGTCGTGCTTGGGTTACATCCGTGATTTATAATTGCTGCATGAGTTGCACTTCCGACCCAAATCCATTAGAAGCCATTTTTTTTTTCTGCAAATCGTCTTGCTTTGGTTGTTTAGGTTTATCAAGTTACCCAATTTCTTCTGCTGCAATCGTGAGGACTGAGTTCAGTTTGGTACTCTTGTAGAACATGATGAGCAAAGTTCAAAACCTTGGTTTGGCTGTTTGAACTTAACGAGACAAGCATTGCAGAGGAATTTTTCTTGAGTACGAGATAATCGTTGATTTTGTTTGAGATATTGCGCCTTTGTGAAATCCAGTTGCCGTTGTAGGTTTTGCAGTTGTTGGTTTTGTTTTTGTATGATTTGAAGTAGATTAGCCATAGTTGTTTTATATTCTTTGCATTTGCGACATCTTCTTATCGGTAAAGGTAGTGACAAACATCTTGCAATACTTTCCATGATGCTGTTCCTCCACGTTGTCTCATCAGCAACTTTTTTTGTTGTTTGCGGTGGTTATTGAACCTTTGGGACTTGACTCCACGCTTTGGTCCACAATTGATCAATTAATTCTCGAAAATGAGTTTCGTTGTATTTTTGAATCACTTGGTTGATCTGACGTTTTTTTCTGGATCGAACATGATTATATACCTCTTGAAAAGGAATGTAATTCATACTTTCAGGTGGAATGGTTTGTAAGTGGTCATAAAAGACTTTTTCCAACTGGTTCCATTGTTGTTTTCTGTGTTCTATGGCTTGTTTGATTTCTTGTACATCGGATGGAGATAATATATTGTTAAAATTGTCACGTTCAAGTTTGATCATGAAAGATTCGTGAAAATCGTCCAAATCATCCACTGACAATAGCATTTGTTCAAGAAGATTCTCCTTTAGGCGGAATCTTGCTTCGTTTCTTGCTAGAGCTTGGTATTTGTAGTTTTCCTTGCGACTTGACATGATACGGGCCAATAGCTTCATCCGTTTGTCAACAACGAGTGAGACGCTTGCTTTTTAATACATGACTAAACACTCGATGCGTATAGGCACTGGTAAAATGAAAATCCAATAGGGAATAGTGCATGACATCGAGAATGTATGAAAAAGAAACATTGTTGCAGAATGTTTTTGTGTTTGTCGGAGGAATAAAACTACAACACCACACTGAGTAGAATTTGGCATAAACAATCTCTTTTATTCATAAGGATAACAACAACATGATTACATGCCCAACTTGAGTTTAGCTTTCATGATATTTTTGACAATATGTTCCGTTAGACTTTTCTGACCTGGCAGTTTATCGATTTTGGCAATCATCTTACGATCTGCCATCCATTTGTCCTTCAAGTTTTTGGCTCTAGCATAGTCAATGTCATGGGCTTTAGCAATCTTGTCTAACCTATTGATGCCTGGGTCACCGCGGGCTAAACGTTTCTCCAAATGAGTCCCAGGTCCCATATACTGATAACCGGGCCAATGAAACTCTATACCCGTCTTGGCCAATAACTTTTGAACATCAAATAACTTGCCTCCGCGTTGCGAACGTCGTCGTCGCTGGCGGGTTTTAGGTGCGGCACGGCGTCTCTTGGTCCGTCTCATCATGGAGTTTTCCACGTTTTCCACTCCAAGGCTTTCTTGGCCAGACCGGCGGCTTTCTTTTTGGCTGCCTCTTTGGCTTTCTGTCTGATTTTGCGCTTGATAGCTAAGGAGGGGGTGTCCCAAGGTTTCTGGCCTACGTCCTCTGAAAAGGGCAACTCTTTCGCCAACTCCTCGCTGCTCAACGGGGTCGTAGGGGTCGTGAACTTGAGTTTCTTTTTGGCACTCGGGGTGATAATGGGTTTGGGTGGTACGCGTGGTTTTCTACCGGGTCTGGAGGGTCCTGCAGGAGAAGCACTTTGTTTTATACCCTGGCTAGCCTTGACTAGTTGCGTCAACCAAGCTTGCACTGGGCCAGCATCAAACTCATCTTCGCCCGTTTCAGTCGCAGGGGTGCCTGTAGCACTTACCCCACTGACAGGGGCACCAAACGGTTGGCGTACTTTTTTGGTCCAATGGCGTAATTGACGACCCACGGCTTTGAGTTGAGGCCGTTTCCACGCATCGGGCACATCACTGGCCAAGAGCACATGTTGTTTGGCAGCTAAATCTGCCGCTTTGGTCAAGCGAGTATCTTCCACCAACTCTTGTTTGTACTTGTCACGTAATTGTAAAAAAGCCGGAGCATTGTCCACAGAGGTGCTCACCATCTCTTGCTCCATGGTGTAAATGAGGTACAATGTCTAACGCATGGTACGTTTATAGCATCGGTAGAGTTCGGACCAGAGAGTTCCTCCTTTTTGAGACATCATGATAGCGCGTCGACGTTTGACCGAATGAGCTGGTTTGGCCATTGCTCTTAAACTCTGAGCATGGGGTTTCAGCAAAGTGATGGTGTGTCGAGAACGGGGCACGGTTCCGCGGATCGTGTTCATGACCAATTCACTGATGGCATTAATCTGATCCGCATTGGCCATTCGTAACAATTCTTGTCGTTTATGATTGTCCGCTTCTCGCAACACACTCTTCAGAAACGGAGCTTGACGTTCCATGCGCCAATCCATCGTGTGATTGTTGCTTTGGATCATCGACCGAAGGTCTATTTATGGTAAAAAGTGCTCCACACAGTTCTCCATCATAATATTGTTGCATGTGGTCGCGACACTGTTGACACAACTGGTCTTCAAAATTTTTGTCGCACTGTAAAAAATAATCGTTAGAACCTTTTTTTCTTCTTCTGAGCACTGCATCGCTTCTAACCTTTCCACGCCCATGTGCGTTTCTTGATCTCGCAAGGTGAGAGAGCCATCGCCAACATGAATAGCACTCTTCCACGTTGCAATCCATGTTGCCAGCATCGTTTTCTGGGGAGCTAACCATTTCGGCCTCTAGTTGGTGCAGGCACCATCATTCAATGGAGTCGTTATCAAACCCTTTCATTTCTTTTTATAACGTGCATGGAGTTTAGAAAGCCCATCCTGTGCGTTTTAACGCACGCTCAACGTGTCGTTTATTGGCCGCTAATTGGGCTGGACTGAGTTTTTTTTTCTTGCGCGTAGCAGCGTCGATAGCTTTTTTGGCACCGTAGCTGGCGCCACCACTAACGGCCCCTAGTGCTGCCGCCTTGCCGAGAGCGATGGCAGCGGGAATGAGGAACGGGAGAATACCTCCTCGTTGCTTTCGTCGTTGTCGTCTTCGTTTGGGTGGCATGATGGGTTGTACATCATCTGATGAACCTTTTTCACGATGTGTCTCGTTTTTATAGTCTCAAGGCTCGGCGCATTGCTAGGTTGTTGTCAACTCCTTTCATTTCTTTTTATACATTCACATCAAACTGCACCCACCCACTTTTTTGGCATACCCCTTCTTGACCAACCACTTGTTGTACGAGTCCTTGCTGCCACTAGCGCGATACTGGCGTTTATAGTTGGTCACCCGTTGTTTGTCGGCCTTGACGTCGGCTTTGGAAGGAATCTTCCACATAGCTGGATCCGTCAACAACTTGAAGCCTTTTTTGACATCCACCACGAAGGGTGCCTTCCCACCCTTCATCCTACGTCGACGTGGTGGTCGTCTAGTCGTGGTGCGTTGGCGTTTGCGTCTAGGAGCCATCGCGTGTCGACATTCGCCACACATTTTTGGGACGATGGAAGGGAGGCGCTTGTTTTTATATTCTTTGTTCACGAAGAACTGCGACCTCGTCCACGGGCTCGACCACGGCCACAGGTCGAGACAATTCGGCCGCCATGTCCGTCATGCTGCTGAGATCTCGGAGGACTGAAGGGGAACCCACTGCCGCGGGCGAGAGAGTCGGTGGGTCCATGCGGGCGGCTAAGTCAGTATGTTGTCCGCCTTCTCTTTGCCGGCGGACCCTGGCGAGTTCTCGTTGCAGGGCATTGTCGAACGGCAGGGACATCTGCCCGCAAGGTGTGGACTTGCGCTTTACCTTCTCGGGGTGTTAAATGACTCCACAAACGGTAACGATCATCCGAGGCAGGATGCACATCCAACAGCAAATAACCAAAAGGGCGCGATGTGACACGATTAAATAGTCGCAAGACTTGGCGCCATCGATCCGGAAAGGCTTGCAATAAAATCGTCCGTATCCCTGTTTGATCCCGGGGGTTTTTGAACGCCACAATGTAATGCGCGTTGCGATTGATCGTCTTGGAAAATTTGCCCGGCGGGAATAAATCTTGCGTTAAATACAGCACCGTGATGTTGCGATGATGCGAATCTTTGGTGAACAAATCCAACACGCGCTTGTCTTGTCCCCCTTCTTCCATCAAGTCGTCCAAGACCAACACCCCTCCACGCGTCCGACCAAACCATTGCGTCAAATGACGAGGGTCCGGTAACCCGCGATGAAACTGAATCCTCTCCTTTTGTTGCATACGCTCGAATCGGGGTTGCCAGCGATCATAGGCATACACAATCTTGTGGGGTTTCACTTGAAAGACGTTCAGGTACCGCAACCATTGTTCCACCAATTCGCTCTTGCCACTACCCGACGGACCGGCGATTATCACACTGCTGGGGTGTCGGATCATGATTCCCACGGCCGAGGGTGACGTCGATAATGACCCGTAGCACCTTTGGCTCCCATGCGTTTATACCGTATGTCCCGTCCCAATTGGTCGCTAATTTTATAGGCTTTGGCCAACACGCTCATGATTCCGCGCCCGTTTTGGCGAAAGTGGGGTCGTTGGATGGAGGCGCGCTGTCGTCGTCGTCTGCGAGAGGGCATACCGTCCAATACTCGCGGTATAATCGAGGAGACGCCGACTGAATGAGGTGTTGCATACATTCCCTTAAATACGATTCACCTATGGTGTCCATGTACGCTTTAAGAGACATCCATTCTCTATCATGAGCCAATTGTCTGGCTAAGGTCTAATGATACCCATCCCATGCATCATTGCCTCGGACGGTTTGGACGCGTTCGATGGGATGCAACCACCAATAAAGAGTTTCTTTCAAAATGAATGCATCGATAACGCGCTGCACATCACCGCGTGTAATCATGATGAAAAAAATGACACCTCTTGTTGCTGCACTTGTCTTTTTTATCATAATGATAAGACACTACACATATTTTGACAAGTAAATCACGTTTTTATTACATTTTATTACAAAGCAGAAAGGCCTGGCGGCTCAAATTACTTTGCCCATCTGGTCGGGCATCCACTTCATCTTGTAATTCACGTTTAATCACTCGTTTCAAGTCTTTGGCTACTTTTTGATCATTCAACACTAAATTATCGGAACTCCAACTTCCCAAAAAGTCCTTGTAGGTCTGTCCTTGCGCTCTGGCTTTAAGGAAAAATAATGCATAATGACCACAGGTCTGACTATCCATGGCTTGCAGTGTAATGTCACTGCGGGTTAGGTACTTCCATTGACTCCACCACTTGTGCAACTCTGCATTTTTGTACACATGCAAGGGTAGACCATAACTGTCAAAGATTTCGCACTTGTTTTGTTCTGTCCACATGCCCAACCAATGTTGTCCTGGTTCCCCCGCTGGATCCGTGTTGACAATGTAGGCCGCACGGACCGTTTGGGGAGGTGATGGGGGTAGTTTATCGGCTGGGTACACACCTTGAAACACGCGTCGTAATTCAGGATCATCTAAGGCCAACGCCCGTAACACAGTATCGCTGAGCGCCACAAACTCCATGGCTGGTTTCTTCTGAGGATGGTTTAGCCGTTGATGTTGTACTTTATACCTCCCAGATGATTAATCTCGTACATGTTTTCATACTCGCTCCACACCAACACAGTGATGTTGTGATTAACAGCGGCCCTGAAATCAATCACCAGTCGCACATTCCCCGATTGGCGGGGGTTGCGATACTGAGGGTCATCGGCTTTGCCGCTTGCCACATTGTTGAACATAAACAATGTGCAGTTGTTGCCCTGTCCCCAATCACTAGGTAACAGCATGGGGATCTTGTCTTCATTGTAGGAACCCATGGCTTGTAGAAACCGATCGTAGCCCAGTAGATCTTCATAGGCTTCATCGCCTGTTAGTTCTAGGGTTCTGTAAGGATATTCTTCTCCATTCAAACTTTGTCGCACTCGGGTGACCCCAAACTTTTCAAAGGCAAAGGGGTATCTTTCTAGGTCACCATTGAAGGCATTGGAATGCAGCAATCCCACAATCACTCGATCGGGAAATCGACCCACAAACACATTGTCTTGTTCCCACTGGGTAGTTCTTCCATCAAAGGAGAAGGTACGGATTTCACTTCGAACCACTGGGTAGCGCACAATCTTTTTTCCCAGTTGTCTTTCTTTTTGCAGTCTGACATAGACACTCGCGTTCAAGGTCACTTTTCGCATCAGTAAGGTGACTTTGATGTCATCATTATGGATGGCTGGAAATTTCTTGGCGGTCAAGGTCCCTTTGTTTGGGGTACCCATCAAGTACACAGAGTTGGGGTTTAGGAACAATTCAAAGTCTAACTGCACACCAGGCACCAAACATTTACCCGTCTTGACAGTTGGTAAATGAGGACGAATGATAAAGGTGTGCCAATTTTCGCTCAGCAACCGGCTGGTCAAGGCTCGCAACTCTACATTTCCATTCCAATTAGCATTGGTAGGAATATCGGAATTAGCACCTGTAGTCCCCATTTCCTCAATCACATTGAGTTGATTGACCCAACCTTGAGAGGCTAACTTGGTGGCTCCTTCTTCTCTGTTGTAATTCAATAAGGTTTCCAAGTAGGCTCTGTAATGATAGGTATTGCTCTGTTCAGTCATGAGCACACCATTCAGGCTCATGGTAATATCTCGAAAGATGGAGTGGGCAAAATTGTTAACGCAGTAGGTGTTTCTGGTATTGTTGGCATCGGAATCGGCCAAATTGGCTTTCAATCCTGCATACCCACCGGCAGGATCAGTCAGGCGTACTTTGACTTGAAAACGGAGTTCGTTGAGATCATAATAATCTTCGGAGGCCGGGATGGAAAACGTGATGGGTTGTATTCCCGTCAAGGCAGGTTGAAACGTCACGTCCCTGGAGGCTTCGTAGCGGTAATCCACATTCGGGACATCAAACAAATTGAGCGACATGTTTTTTTTTCGGTCAGCCCCAAGTGCACAATGAGAGTGAAGACGTTCAACGACGTTTCCTTTTTATACCCTGTCGTTGCCTTCTGGCTTTGGCTTGGTTGGCCCACAATACTTTTCTGAGATCCCCTCCTTTCATACGGCGCAGGGCCTGTTTCACCCTCCAGGGTTCAGGGTTGATCCGGGTCGACGTCGATGGGAACCCGAAAGGATTGTTCCGCCTACGGTCACTAAAAATCGTACCTCCTTTCATTTTGCCACGTTGCTGCAGGTGTTTCTTCATCCAACGCTCTAGTGCTGGGGATGATGAGTACATGAAGGGATAGCGCGCTGTGGTAGATTTACCAAAGATAGTCCCTCCCGTTTGATACGGTGAAATGAACCGGCCTCGGGGCCGCTGAAGTCGAATGCGATTTTGCGTTTTGCGAAATCCTCCAATGCGTACCATCATTCACAATCCAAAAATATCCCGTACGCGTTGAGTCGTTCTTTTATAGGTATTTTGAGCGGTTCGTTTGGCTTGCTTTTTTCCCACTGTCCAGGCCAGGGCGGGAGCTTTGCGTTTCAAGCCGCGTTTAATTTGCTCTCCACGATTCGACAAGGTGTCGGCCAAACTCATTCCTTGTTGGATATCTTGGAGTCCCGCTTGGGCTTGTTGCACGATGAGAGGACCGGCTAGTTTGATTAAGTCTTCGGCCAACCCTTTTCCTTCTTGGGTTGTCACCACCGGTGTGTGGTAGCGCGTTAAACTCCCTCCTCGCATCTCTGTTCTGTTTTTGTATGGTCTTCTCTCTGATGTGCGTGGTGGTTTTTATAGCTGTTTGAGACCTATCGTCACAATGGTTTTGCCGGGGGGTAAAATGGCCAGGGGTCCACTGGTACTGGCAATCTCCACTTCGATGATGTCCAATTGGTTGCCTCGCACTTTGATCCACTGGTGATGCAGTGGTTCCGCCGTACTTTCTCCATCCCCTGTTCTCAATAACTGTACTTCCCGCAGCAAGGGAAACTTGCCACTTCCCACTACAGTGGATTCGACGAGATCCGAATAGACCATGACGGTACGTTTGCGAGTCCCCACGATCTTTTCAAACGAGGCATCGAGGTTGTTCAATTGCCATTCCACCAACAAGGACAATTGCAAAAACTTCACACCATTATGGGTCCGAACTTGCATGGGATCATGTTCAATACTACTGACAATATTGCCAAACAGCAAGGTGGGATTGACGCCCATGTATTGCACACCTTCCCAGTTGTAGGGCGTGCGATCGGAGTTGCCTTTGGGTAGAGTGTCCGAATCATAGGTAGCCGTCGGCAGAGTATATTGCATATTGGGCCCTAGGAAATACTTCGTCGCGTTGTTGACTGTCTTTTCCACTACCAACCCAAACTTGAGCGCAATGTCCAGGTTGATGAAAAAATCAGTGATGGCTTTCTTGTCCGCTTTAAGCAAATCCTTTTGGGCAAGGGCCTTAATTACCAAGGTACCCTTTTTCCAGGTCAGTTGGGGCATGGCGTTTTGTTTGGCACTGACAATAGGTCTTTGGTCAGGTTCCAGGATCAGCCACCGCATTTGTTCCGCCATCGTATTGTGCATCATTTTGTTGTGCATTTCTTGCATCACGCGTTTCCAAAACTGAGTCCCCGTTGACACGATTTGACTCGCATTCATGATCTCTTCCAATTCCAACACGCAGTCCACGGTTTTCACCTCGGCAAATCGGTAGATCCCCGTCACCCACTTACGTATCACATAGTTCATTTTGAATTTGATCACTTTGGTATGAGGATCCGCGGCGATGATGGCATTGCTTTGGCCTTCATCCGGCACGGTCAGGGACATCAACGAGGTGTGCCAACCTTCGCCCGGTAAGTTGAGACGTTCGGGTAGACGGACCTTGAAACTGTTGTTACTATTTTTGGGAAACTCGTCGGTCGGATCGCTGATAAGCGTCAAGCGTTTAATCTCACTCATGATGAACAAGAGGCGCGTCGCAGAGAGTACAAGGTGCTTTTATAGCCACTGAACCACTTTCTGTTTGCTACGAGGAACCCATCCCACTAAAGAATTAAAGGTTGATTGTTTGGGATAAAAACATACTTGCTGAGCAATGTTGGGAAAGGCCCGGGCCAGTTCCATTAGAGTTAAGCAAGTTTTTTGTTGAGTGGTTTTTTTCTTCTTGCGCATGGGAGGATGACGACCAGCGCGCCTGCGTTGTTTCTTTTGGACAGCCGTGTAAGAACGAAGCGCTTGTTCACCAAAGGCCAACCCAGCCATTTTGTTGACTTTGGCTCGTCTTTGTTTCGCCGCTTCCTTGTTAATGAACTTCATGATCTCGACCTCGTCCATGTGGGGTGATGTGTCACTGGTTTCAGTGGGTATTGGGTACAGAAACCGTCTACTTCTTTTTTTTCGATGTGTTGTTTGTTTTCTTCGCACCATGGGCGGGAATCCAACTATCGTACTTGGGTGGCCAGCCTTTCCAACGCACTAACACGTTGCGTCCTTTACGTTTCAAGACTTTTTCGACCCGAAATAACGAGTCATCGGACACTTGCACTTTTTGCACATCGGGTTCGTAAAACGTACCTTTTATAGGCGTACCATCCCATTCACTGAGTCGATAGGTCACGATGGGATGTCGACGTACATGCGTCACCACAAACACTTCTTCTGTCCATCCAGGTAGATACCCTTTTTGAAAGGGTCGATGTTTCTTGTTGAGGCGTACGCGATCACCCACTTGACATTTGGGAGGTGGTGTCTTTTGCTTCAAGCGCTTTCCGTAGAGTCTGGCCCAGACCTCGGGCACAGTTTTTTCCGTGACTTGCTGCGGGGTCATGCCAATACTACGATGATAGGACTGATTGTACGAGTGGATTAACGGTTGTAACACGTCCACATACCTCAACGTATTGTGGGCCGTAAAGTAGCGGTACATTCGTTGTTTCAACGTGCGATGCCATCGTTCTACCACGGAGGCCTTACTATCCCCATACGTTGAAAAATGATGCCAGTCGTGTTTCTTGAACCAGGCTTGCACCCCTGCATTATAAAATTCTTTGCCTTGATCCGTCTGCACGCGAAGGGGTTGTCGAGGTGAGGCTTGACGACGAATGCCTTCTAACCCTCGTATCATTTCTTTACTGCTTTTGGATTTGATGGGGTTCGCCCACGCATACTTGGACAGTACATCGATGACGGTCAGCAAATATTTGTTGCCCTTATTCCATCGACTGAGTTTTTGCATGTCCACCAAATCCATTTGCCATTGTTCGTCTCGGTCAAACACCAAGGTGGGAGTGGTAGGGAAACGAGTCCGTCGGGGTTTGTGTAACGTATAACTGAGCACGGATTGCAGAATTTGTTGCGCTTGAGGAGTTTTCAATTTGTGGGCTTTGGCAAAGGGGTCTACCCCACCCAAGGCCCCTTGTTCCTGGGGATCTTCGTAAGCGCGTGCTAACGACATAGCGCAGTGACACAGATGCTTTAAGGGCCTTTTTCTTTAATAGTTTTTTTTTGCAAAAAACAAAGTTCCACTACCGCCTCTTCTTCTTTCTCTGAGCTTTAGCAAACTGGTTCAGCGTTGTTGTTGTTGTTAGGACGTGCTAGGTGTATGCAGTGTCTGGACAGTATCTCTTTAATGAATCTTCTCAGCATGCTGGCGCTTGTTCTCTGGGACGGTACAGCCAAGCATGAAAGCATTTGGATTCTTGCTCTGACAAAATTTGACTTTGCAAAAGCACAATACCGTCAACTTGTCTTTCCTCAATGTATCCAATAACCAAGCAACTCTAACCACGAAGGAACTTGTGATCCAAATTGTGTTTCAATGCAAGAATACCACTCTGCTGCCAACGGAAATTGTTTTAACCATACGACATACGTGACAAATCTCCCCCAATCACCATGGACATGCGTCTCTTTAAAGGTTTCCACGGGATCACCCCATTCTTGCAAAACAGGTTGCTCGGTATATTTTAAGAATACGCGAGCGCAAAGAAAACGAATCAAACGCCAACGCAAATAAGACCACATTTTTTTTCTTTTTTTAAAATTATCTTTTAATAACAACTCGCTATATACATTTTTTTTTTCATGCAAAACTAGCTCTAAGTTCATTCCACAAAAAGATGGGTCTAAAAATATGATGTCTACGCGTATACTCATTGTCTTCATCATAATAACGAGTCAATAGTTTGTTTCCAACGCTTGCATGGGATATGTGATAACCAGTCAATAAAAAATGAGAAACAAAACTGTATCTATTTGCTGAATATACATTTTCTACCAGATATCCAAACACATATATCTTATAACGAGGAAGATCCATTCTAGGAAACATATCATGGTGAGTATAGGCGACACGATAGGCTCTTCGTCTCGCTGTCAGATAACAATGATGACAAAAAATGTCATTTATCCCATTAAAGTTACAATCGAATGGAAGATCAACAGGATTCTTGAAAAACAATTCATATTTACAATCCCAACATTGTTTTTTCGGAAACAATTGTTCATGCAAGGCTTTCCATCCCATCTCATTTCGTGCATGAACCATAGCGGGCCAATAAAGACGTTCTTGAATAAAATAGGGTAAAGACCCCCAAGGCAATGTCTCATCAAAAGTGGACTGCTCCATACTGTTGCTCAGTGATACCCCAATTGTTGGATGATGGGACTGCTCTTGTGTAGTAAACAAAGGGACTACTTTTCCGCCCGCCGCCTTCGCGCGCGCCGTCTTCGCGCGCGCCGTCTTCGCGCGCGCCGTCTTCGCGCGCGCCGTCTTCGCGCGGGCCGCCGCCGCCGCCGCCGCCGCCTGGTTTCATCAGATTTTTTCGTTTTTCCTCCATGTCTGCCTTCAAGTTGGTAAAGTACTGCTGAAAGGCCATCTTTTTGCAAGCTTCTTTGTGTTCTTGCGCTTTTCTTTTGGCTTCTTCTCGACTAGTTGGCACGGGTAACTGCTTGAATTCAAATCGCATTTCATCTTGCCAGGCAGCATTCTTGTTGCTAAAGGGTAGATCAAACCATTGGAAGTAAGGGCATTTCAACTCTTTGCACCAATTGTTGCAGCTCAAGTACAAGCGATTGGGGTTGGTTTCCGATTGACTCAGTTTCAGCACAGGGGTGAAATGGCAGAAACATTGCAGTATGTCCCAACATTCCATCACATCATGACTGGGTAGTGTGTAATGCAGGGCTTGTAGATAAGCATCGAGGTTATTGGCAAATAGAAACACGGGACAGTCCAGTTCAGGGCAAAACAACACTTCTTGTTTTTCAATCTCATCGGGTGGTTTTTTACGAGTGAGAGGTTTCAAGTGGAAGGGGCACGTTAACAAATCCACCACGACTAAAGGCGCTCGAGGTGGACTCCGACTTTGCGGTCCAGGTGGACTGCCAACTTGAGGGATCATGTCCACTTCAGCCAACAAGGATTGAATGGCCTGATCTTTTTCTTGCTCTGTTTTTTCTTCGATCCATTGCCCATCTTTCATCTCATAAAGAATAGGTTTTGGTGTTTCTTTGAGAGAATCGGTCTTCAAAACAGGAGAATCTGTTTCCCATTTGGGTTTTTTCTTCTTTTTTTCTTTGGAGTCAGGTTTATCTTTCTTGGTATATTTTCGTTTCACGGGTAGAGCTTCGACAGTGGTGGGTGACTGCATGATGCAACTGATGCAAATGGTCAGTTGCTCCGAGACTATATAAGCGCGATCACCTGATCTGCAACCAATCATTTTGTTGCAACGTGCTAGCGGAACAACTTGATTGACCGGTTTTAACCCGTTTGTACTGGATTGACTGGTTTTCACCTGTTTGTACTGGTTTCACTTGTTTTTTAAAAGAAACCTGTTTAACATGTTTTTGAAAACAAGTATATTACTAGTGATCCTCAATCATTTCTTCATTCTAACCATGGCTTCCTCCAATCCTGCAGAGCCTTCAAAAACATGGACACATTTCAGGAATTTTGTGGAAAAAAAAGACGTGTTTGCAGAAGAAGAACCCATGGAACATCCAGCCGGTGAAAAATATACCATTGTGACTGGTGGAGCCCAAGGAGCCGATGAATATGCTGAACGACTGGCTTTGGCGTATGAATGTCGGTTGGATATCAAAATAGGTCCCAATCATCCCAGAGCTAAATGTCTTAGTCCCATTCAACCCACTGAAGCCGATCTTTATCATGCTCGTGAATCCATCAAACGAGCCAACCAAACGCTTCAACGTAAAAGTCCTATTGGTACAGCTACTTATTTTGAAGAATTAATGGTTCGAAATTATTTTATTGCTAGACAATCTTATGCTCTGTATGCCTTTGGCTACTTAGACGCCAACAAGACAACGGTCCAAGGAGGCACCGGATGGACCGTTCAACTGGCTTTGGATATGGGGAAACGCGTGTACCTGTTTGACTTGACGGACAACCAGTGGTACGAGTTTATCTATTATCAGCTACAAAAGGGTTCGTATGTGAAAAAATGTGAGTTTCAACTCTTGAAAAGTGCTTGTTCTCTCACTCTCTATGATCATGTGGGGATTGTAGGATCGAGACATTTTACAGAACAAGGTAAAAAGGAGATGAGACATCTTTTTCGACGTACCTTTTTAAGATGAACAACAAGAAAGTTGATTTTTGTCCACAAGTCGATGTGTATCAACCCATGGGGCAAACCATCTTGTTAAAAAAACAAGCTTTACGAGATGAAACCACCAATCCGGTGGTCTCCTTTTTTCAACAAAGACGTATAAAACTACGACAACTCATGCATGAACGTCATTTGGTCAGAAAAAGTCGACGCGCAGAACGCGCTCAAGCGAATGAAAGATTATTACAAGAATCTTCGTCAGAGTGATTTCCCTTCGTGGGACGATTACATGGTAAAAAGAGTTCAACAAGGACTGGAAGCAGGGTATACGTTTCAAGAGTGTTACGAGCATTGGCTACAAGATTTTTCCGATACTTTGCATCGATTGAGTGACGAACTCCATGGACAAACTACTGAGCCAACATCCACTCAGTAATTATTCGACTTACAAAGAGTTTATTCGTGATTTGATTCAAGATGCTATTTCTAATCAAGGATACACCTTTGAAAATTTAAATTACGAATTGTATCGGCTAAACACTCAAATCTATCAAGAGTTCACCCACGAGCTGATTACTACTCATGTATATACTTCAAGATAAAAATTTACAAGATAAACTCTCGACCACTGGTTGGGCCAGAGATTGGGTGTGGAGTGTGGCTTATGCGATGATTCAAAAATTTGGTATGGATAAAAATGTACACTTAATCCCTCCTAGTGTAGAAGCCTGGAGTAAACAATGGTATACTTACAGAAGTCAACTTGCAGATACCCTGATGGAGCTGTTACCCCAACTCACCTTTCATGACATTCATGAAGAATGGCAATGGAAAATGGTGGAAACACAACATCCCAGTCCGCCAGAATGGGGAGGCAACATGGATTTTTGTTGGAATTTTATGAGACCCAAAGATTCTGTCATTGAAGCTTTATTGTGTTTATTTTCTTTCAATTTAAACAAATATGGTACCTATGATTATGAATTCTTGGGTTTCACGCATAACGATATTGATCAATTATTTCATTGGCAACGAGATATTCAATAAAACACCTTGTGGAACTGGATGTATTGTGTGTCTTTTTTATTGGTACAAAACGACAACCTCCTCACCTACTTTCCTTCCAACCACATAAAGAAAATTCCTCCCCATCTCACTACATGAGTAAACTCATACATTTTTTTGAAAATCAACGCAGATTCTAAAAGAGAAATCGGTCAATGTCTCTTTCCCGATCGACCGCCATTTTGTTTTCTTCTCGGGATGGCGTATATTTTTTTTAATGATTGTTTGCTTGTTGGGAAGAAAAAACCACCGAGTTGTACTCATTTACTAAACGTGAACCTGTTTGACTTGGAAAAAGAAGAAACCAAACTCATCTAGCATAACTCAAGTTTTCCTTCTCCGTGCGTGAATTGAACTCCCATCTCTCTGTGTAACTCCACATGGTGCAATATGAGCCAATCGAGAGTCGCCAGTTCAATTCACGTACGGTGTAGGAAAAAAAAAATTGAGTACATACGAGCCTGGACTTGCGGTCCTAGTTGATATATACATGGTCGAGTGAAAGAGAACGCGCGCAAACTATGCACTACTTAAATTTGCATAGGTCATCTTAACTTCTCCGTAGTAGTGTAGGTGGGATCGCGCGCAGTGAATACAGATCCAGAGGTCGTGAGTTCGAGCCCGACTTCAAACTTCTTTCTTCTTCTTCTCTCTTTAAAAGTAAAAAAAAATCTAGAAAAAACTAGAAGAAGAACAAAAAACTAAGAACAAACAAAATTCCTAAGGAAAAAAAATGCTAGAAGAAAAAAAAACAAAAAAACCAAGAAGAAGAAAAAACAAAACATCGAAACCAAGAAAAAAAACCTAGAAAAAACCAAAAAGAAAAAATCCTATAAAAAAAACACAAAACTCGGGAAGGAAGAAACAAAAAAATAGAAGCAGAAAAAAAACCGAGAAGAAAGAAACTCTAGAAAAAATTAAAAGAAAAAACTAGAAGAAGAAAAAAACCCTAGAAAAAACCGGTTTCAACATGGGCTTGAAAAAAAATTTTGATTTTTTAAAATTTAGTTCAAAACCTGTTTTAAAAAGTAATTTAACCTGTTTCCAAACCTGGTTTGATATCTGCTTTTAAACAACTGGTTTCAAACCTGTTCAATCTAGTTGTCCACCAATCAGAGATCGTGGTGTATCAGGTGATTTGCTCTATATAAGTCGACGTCAAGCACCGCCAACTTCAAATCGTCGAGGTTTTCATACAAGTCAAAATGAAAAGATCTTGGGAGTGGAGTACAGACGAAGATGATGAGCTTCTAGCTAAAGCGATGGAAGAGTGGGAGAAGAAAACGGGACAAATTGGAGGTGCTGCTGCTGCTGCTGCTGCTGCTGCTGCTGCTACCAATGGTTTTCAATTTGAGTTAGTACCGTACACGGATAGACGGTGTACTAAATTTGGTATTCATCGACGTACCTTCACCGCTCGATTGCGACAACATGGAGGTAATCTTGCCCAGTTAGTACCCAATCATGTCTTACCAGAGTTGATTGAACATACTTTGGAACAGGCGATTGAAAATAAGATTTTAAGTGATCCAACTGCCAATCAAGACGATTGGATTATAATTAACATGTCCTCAGATCGATTACAGAGTGCGTATCAATCGCATCGAGTGAGTATTGCTGATTGGATTAACAAGGGAACAGAGAGTAGAGCCATGTTGGAAAAAATGAGCCAAGTTCTCAACTCCAATGAAACATTTCAAATGGATGACACTTTTCATATTGAAATTACCCATATTCGTAATCCTGGCACGGGCAGAGGTCGAAATCAGAACAAACCTGGTCTTACCCCCGTGGATCAATTACTCAAATGCAAAAAGAATGTGATTCGTATCAATAATTACGATGATCTTTGCTGCGCCCGAGCTATAGTGACAGTCAAAGCCCATCAAGATTATGGATCGGCTCATTGGATTACTCGCAGTTGCAAACGTGGTTTTGCCTTGCAAGAACAATATGCTAGAGAACTTCATAATCAAGCGGGGGTTCCGCTGGGCGCCTGTGGGTTGGTTGAAATTCAACTTTTTCAAAACAGTCTTGCAGAGTATCAATTGATTGTCATTGATGCTGAACTGGGTTATCAACCCATTTTCAAAGGACCATCTAAACCCAAAGAAAAACAATTGGTACTCATTAAACACAAGGAACATTATCATGCTTGCACCTCCCTCACTGGTTTTTTTGGAACATCCTATTATTGTACTGAATGTGAAAGGTCATTTGCAGTGGATGACAGTCGACATCATCCATGCAAAGGAAAACGATGTTATGCCTGTCAACAAACCAATTGTACAGAATTTCAAGAAAAGCAAGCCACATTGTATTGCACCGATTGCTGTCGCTCCTTCTTTACTCAGCAATGTTATGAAAACCATTTACATTACACTCCTTCAGGTCGAAGAGCAAACGGCAACAGTGTGTGTGAAGTGAAAAAACGATGCCCCGGTTGCAATAAGGTGGAAAATGGAAAACAACAGATTCGTGAACATCAATGTGGTCATGCCAAGTGCCCTTCATGTCACAAATATGTGGAAACTGCTACTCACAAGTGCTACATTCAACCCATTGAGCCAGAGAGTAACGCGAGAAAACGCAAGAGGGACGAACGCGTTCCACCACCCTTATTTGTTTATTTTGACATTGAAGCCATGCAAGACACTGGTATTCATGTCGCCAATTTGGTATGCGCAGAAACCAATGAAGATGATACCTCGTATGTGTTCAGTGGAGCCACTTGCATTGAACAATTTTTGGCATGGTTACAAACACTGACTCAAACGGATGATGCAGAATATCTACGTCAAGTCATTGCCATTGCACACAACTTTCAAGGCTATGACAGTTATTTTATTTTGGAAGAACTTTACAAACAATGCGTTTGTCCCAAGCAAGTTGTCAATGGTGCCAAGATACTAAGCATGTCAATAGATGACATTAAATTCATTGACAGTATGGCTTTTTTACAAATGTCCCTGGCAAATTTCACCAAAGCCTTTGGTCTTCAAGAATTGAAAAAAGGATTTTTTCCACATTTTTTCAACCGAGCTGAATTTCAAGACTATGTGGGACCCATGCCAGCCCGAGATTATTATGATCCCAACAGCATGAAACCAGAAAGGAAACAACAATTTGACACTTGGTATCAATCGAAATTGGATGAACAAGCCACATTTCATCTCCAACAAGAACTGATTGCTTATTGTCAATCCGACGTTCAATTGCTTAAACAAGGGTGTATGAAATTTCAACAGGAATTTCAATCATTGACCAACTTTAATCCCATGGAACAATGTATTACCATTGCTTCAGCTTGCAATCGATTTTTTCGATCCAATTGCATTTTACCAGGAACCTTAGCCTGTGAACCAGTACTGGGTTGGTATGGTTCAGCTAAACCGCATTCCATTGTGGCTTTGGAATGGTTAAACTGGGTACAACACTCTGAAGGCAAAAACATTCTTCATGCTGGCAATCAAGGGGAATGTCAAATTCAGATAGGTCTGAACAAGACATACGTGGATGGTTATGACCCTAACAGCAAGACAATCTATGAATTTAACGGCTGTTTTTTTCATGGTTGTCCCACTTGTTTTGACAATCGAGATCAAACGCATGCCAAATTGAATAACAAGACCATGAGGGAAGTGTATCAATCGACCATGCAACGAATTGCACACCTTCAGCATTCGGGGTATAATGTCATTGTCATGTGGGAATGCGCATGGAAACAATTGAAAGAACAGAACTTGAACATTCTACCCTTTTTGAAGCAACTCAACCTCACCAATCGCCTTCGACCAAGAAATGCCTTTTTTGGTGGTCGTACCAATGCAGTTCAATTGTATTACCAGGTGCAACCCGGTGAACAAATCCGCTATGTGGATTACACATCCCTGTATCCCTTTGTCAACAAAAACTGTCAGTACCCAGTGGGACACCCTCTCATCATTAACAATCCTTCGTTTT